TTTTTTTTTGTCGCATTTGCTAACATATAACGAATAAACACAGTTTATTTTTATATGGCAGAAATCCGCAGCACCTTCGACGAAAGAAAAATCTAAAATGTCAACGGTAATTTTTAGCCACATGTTGCATGAATGGGCTATAAAACTGTGTACTCAAAAAAATTCAAACACTTCTGAGAAAAAAGTTAAAAAATTTGTTACATTTTTTTATAGTTTTCTACAAAGTTTTAAACTTGGGCTTATAAGGGTTTTGTTAGAGAATGAACTGTATTTTAATTGAAAATTACTAAAATGGCGGTGCTATTGATATGACTGATACTGTACATACACTGCCGGAAAAAAGTATTGGCACAGACAATTTTTCACAATATACATATCCAACAAATTTTAATTTATTAGTTTTCATTTTTTTTTTATAAAAATATAGCTCATACTACAGCAAAAAACATAAAAATATAATTTCTAAACTTTAAGCAAAACTCGGGAAAATTCAATACATTTTCATGCAAATTTTCAATTTTTTAATCAGACTTTCAGATTTGGAATTTTCTTGAGCACGCAGTTTTAGTAGTATGAAAAATGCAAGAAGTTGAATCGCGTTTATTTTTGAGATTTTTTTTATGTTGAAGGTGTTTTTTCATTTTTTCCATAGAAAGTATTTTCAAAAATTTTTTTCTTAAAGGAAACTGCGTGAAAAAAATTGCCAAAGATCAAAGGTAAGTCCTAGCTACTTCAAACTAGCACTTTATTGTAATAAAATTTATTGGGCTAGAAATCTGCATACTCAAAATAATTTAAAAAAATCTGATTAAAGAGCATTGAGTTTTCCTGAGTTTTGCACCAAGTTTAGAAAGTATACCTATTTTTTTGTTTTTTGTTTTGTTTTTGTATGAACCATATTTTTATAAAAAAATTTGCCGGGAAAAAATAAAAATAAAAATTTTGCATATATTGTAAAAAAATTCTCTGTGCCAATACTTTTAGCAGGCAGTGTACATATGTATAAATAATTTTGTCCGCAGACTAAAAAATATGTTAAACAACCGTTCTACATAAAAAAATATTGGCGAAAATGCACTTTCATACGTGTGTACATACATACACTCAAATGTATGTACGATCAAGTCTGAAACTTGCATACCTATGGTTGTAATTAGTTGAACCACTTGGGTGGGCTTACTAAGGCGTGTTAATCTATCTTCGTTTACATGGTAAAACGATAATTGCTTGAATTTACAAACGTGTTTACAAGTTCTCAAATGATTTCGAATTTACCGGTTGATTTTCTCATTGCAAGCAAGCCATAAATACCAGAGTAATGCATAAATTTTAAAGTCTTGTGAATGTATCGTAAATATCCGCGCGCCTTTCTAGTACTTCTTTCACTTCAGCAAAAGAAGACTCAAGTTTCTTATAAAAAATTCGTATGCAACTTTATATCCCAGTGCCCTACATAGTCGCAAATAGAAGCTTCCGGGCCTTTATTGACAACATTTCACAAATAAATTTCAAACATTTCCCTAATTAATCATCATGCAACAGTACTCACATGGTAAATTTTCAGCGCCAGCGCTAACGCCAAGTACTCAACGCCATTGAAAGATGTGTAGCGATATTATGATGATTTAACATGCCTACAACTACACACATCTGTCCAATATTTGCATGCCAACAACGAGTTACAAAAAAAAAAAAAAAAAAAACATTAACTGAATCAAGCAAAACTTTTTGCACAGTCGCGCATGCGCTGCAACGCTTGCTTCTGGCAGCAATAAAAGCAAGTTGGTACCCCTCTATTTAAGCCGCGCTGTTGCATGATGTTCATGCCGGTTGGTTTGCACATAATTTCCTTTTTTTTTTTAATATTCGTTTGTCTTAATTTTTGTTTTGATTGCAACTGCAACACTTCCCACAGGCATTTTGTAGTTTGCGGGTTCGCATTTCATAGCAGACAGCATGCAATGGCAACCAGCAGAAAAAGCGGAATATGAAAAAGAATTCTTAATTGAGGGCAAAACCATAAAAAAGTGAAGTCCCAGCCAGATATGTACAACTTCTAATGACCAACGTACCAAGCGAAGTGCTTTAACGGCTCTTAGAAACGTATTTGTAATTGTTTAGGTGTACATGGTTCAGTGAAGTTGAGTGATCTCCCACACATTTTATATTGGTCATGCAGCTAACGCAACGTTTTTCGTTTAGACAGTTCCACCACCTAAGTACGCTGCTTGCATACCAACCAGCGTCATGAGCGTTTTAGCCGGAAGGTGCTTTTGGACAGTTGTCCCCACAATTAAATAAAAGCTTGTAAAAAATAGCTCAGGTCAGCATAGCAAAAAAAAGCTGCATTCGCCTATTTATTATTGTTGTATGTTTGTTGAAGTGCAATTCCTCTTACAAATACACACATACGGTACTTGGTAAAACATGCTTGCGGCAATTGAAGTGTTCAAATAAGGAATGCTGGTTTCACCTTCAGGGACCATCAACAGAACCGATAGCAAGCTGTGCTATTACATAAGTGAATGCACAAAAATTTTGGGTATGCAAATTATTTATTTAAAATGTTTTTTTATTTTAATGTTTTAAATGAACTTGTAATCCCATAGTAAAAATGAATACATATTTTGTTCTAGTGGCCTACTGGTAATCGATACATCTACGAAATTTTTGTAGAAGAAGTAACTCTATCCTAACTCAATATTTGTAATTTCTTGATTATGACATTAATGAAGTAAATCAGCGATACCTATGTACTTTTGCAATGCACTTTCCTTTATTTATTTGTTAGCAGCAGGATACCGTTTTATTGTCTATAAGTTTACGCTTTCATATTCATTTTCGCTTAGAACGAAATCTTCCTCTGAGCTTTCATCACTTCCATACATTTTAAAATGGGTTTTCAATGTTGAGTTTGATTGTATTTGATTTTGTAAAAAGGCCAAATTTTGGTTCGAATTTTTTCTACTTCTTTCGATTTGCAACACAAAGAACATGCCACACACACATCTGCTTGTCAAATTATTGCGGTATGATCAGTGGCGAATTTACCGTAAAGGCAACATAAGCAGTTGCCTAGGGCACCAAAAATTTAGGGGCCGCAAAATTTTAGTTGAAAAAAATAATTTTTTTTTTTAAGTTAGCTGCACTGAAAGTAGGATTTGTGTAGGTACATACATTTTAAGACATAAATTTGAGATTCAACTACGCAATCAGAAAACACGACAACACTGTTGGGTATTTTTGATATTATTTAAATGATAATATTTAAATTATTAATTTAGTATTTTTGAGATTATAACTTATCAAGTGAAAAAAACTTTGTTGATGATGTCTTTCTTTAAAAAATGAAAACTCAAGGCAACTACCACTTTTTATTTTTAATTGTAATAAAAGTGTAGTAAATAAACTGGCACTTTTACCTCAAAATATTTTTCTTATCGAAAAAAGGGCGGCAAATTCTGAATTGCCTACGGGTGACAAATATTCAAATCCGCCACTGGGTGTGATTGATAAAGATAATGTAGTAGCAATGATGAAGTTATTTAGTTGCAAATGGCAACTCAAGACAGATACACCTAAGTAACCTTTTTAAAATGTTTAAAATATTGCATTAAAGCACAACTTAGTAGCTAAAAAAAGGAGAGGGCACTCACCTCATCGTTTTCTTCCGAGTTTTTTTTAGCGGACGGCGATACCACCGCGGCCTTTGCTTCCTCCTCCGACACGAGACGATTAAATTTACGAGTAGCCTCTTTAACGCTTACATTATTGCCCGGGGGATCGACATCTGAGTCTATTGCTTCCTTGCTGCTGAGTGATGTTGCCGAGTCACCAGAGGAAAACGAAAAGCGCGGTATGTTTTCTTTATTTCCCCGATGCTCTTCCTTTGAAATGCCTTTTAAACGCTCTTCCACTTCCAACTCTTGTTTTTCTTCCGGATTTTTCCGAGCTTCCAACGCCCCTATTTCAGGCTTTGCGAAGACTGCCTGTGCGGCTTTACTGGTTTCTTTTGTGGCTACTTCGACTATTTTATCTAAACAACAGTTCGCGTTGGGTGTTGGCGTAGTTACTTCTGGTGGTGGCACGTATGGCGGAGGCTGCCGCATTGGCGAAGCAACTGCGCTTTCCGATAACAATGACACGCCACCGGGACTGCCAGGCACTGCTTCCGCTCCTGCTGCGGCAACTGCCCGCTGAACAACGTCATCGGGAGGCAGTTCATTTATGTACTTTTTACGTAATATTAGATACTTTTGATTATTTTCATTTTTTATTGTAGATAAAATGTTCACATAAACTTTAAATAGCTTTCGCGCCTCATCTACAACGGAAGAAGGGGAGAGAAAATGAGGAAAAATTAGCGTCTTCACCTCATTTGGTCCAATGTGCATGCAACAAGTGAGATTGGTGCTGGCATATGCCGTAATGAATATTTTTGGTTAATATTAGCTGAAAAGGAAGCTGGACATTTGGAAGATTTAATTATGACTCACTTTGGGTTTCGGGTTTGGTGAGAAAGTGCTTGAAATGCTTAACCAATGCATGATTCGTCACCTTGGAATCGTTATTGAGCATGTAGCTTCTTATTTCTGCAATCGACAATTCCGCTGGTGCTGCAGCCATTATTTAATACTTTGTACACACACACACACTGGACAACCACAACTTTTAAATATAAATTTTGTTAGATGAAGTAACAAAATACAAATTTTCCAAAAGTTTTTATTTCACGAATTTCGACAAACACGCAAAACAAAGCGAAGAAAAACAAAACTGAACAAATGACAGCACAAAATGTCAAACAAACTCAAAACAGAGAGTGCGATGATGAAGAGAATGAAAAGAAGCAAACAAAATGCTAAAGGATTGACATTTGCTAGTCAGCGAGCCAGCGAGATGTGCGCTCATATGGTGGTGTGGATGTTCGATAAAGAAAAATAACTTGCTTTTAAAATAAGCATTTTTTTGTGAGAAACTTATGTATAAATATTCCCTTTGTTATAAGTTAAAATTTAAATGTAAAATACTTTTTCTATGTATTTGAAATGGGGAAGAGTCGGGTACTCTTTATGAATTTGTACAACGATTTTGGGGTGCCCAAACGCGTGAATCGAATCATGTGAGGTGAGGGGTGACTTTTCTTAAAGCGGCGTTCATCCTCCTTCGTTTAGGGGGGCGGTTTGGGGAAATGTAAAATTTATAATTGTCAGGCTGTGTGGAAATATTTACTTTAAATTTCTCACCTGGGCACGCAGTTTCTGTACATCAGTAGGTGCGACTCGGCCCTGTTACGGTCCAGACTCGTTCCCAAACATCCCCAATGAGTGTGCCGCATGGGGAGACTCAATGCACGACGCCAACTACCTCTTCACATTCCAGCTCAATCCCACTCAACTAACACCCCTCTCCCTTAGGTCCGACCCTGTTGAAACCACCCGTTTCTTGGGCCTACCGTTAGTTGAGCTTGGCGACAATGATTGATCGATGGACCGCAATTTAGTAGTGCCGCTAAAAATACATCAACAAGTCGAAGCGGATTTCCTTCAATGTTTAATATAATCTCGGACGAGAACCCAAATTCTAAGAATTACCACGTGGAATGTTTTAAGTATTAAAGGCCCAATGATTCACTTCGGTTATTGAATGCCACGCTGCGATCGGACGAAAGCTCCATAGCCTAGAGGTGACAAGTCAGATAGAATTATCAGGCGAAGGATAATTCTTGCCAACGGGTAAGCAATTGAAAATCAGGACCTATTCGACGAACAAAAATTATGCTCTACAAATCTAACCATGCTCGTCCTTTTATAAGGCGCGGAAACATGGACGATGTCGAACAAAGATGATACAACTTTGGCGGCTATCGGGAGAACTGAAAGATCTAAGGTACTATTGTATGACCGACGGATACTGAAGAAGATGACGAACTGTACGAGCTCCTTAACGAGTTGGACTCATTTAAGCGTATAGTAATACAAAAATTGCGCTGGCTTTGACATGTCGTACACATGGACGATGATGCTCCACTGAAAAGATCCTTTCCAAATTGACAGATACGATTTTTGTATTAATCTCGGCCCAAATCGACCAGCGGTTGTATTAGTAAAAGAAGAGGAGGAGTTGTAGATTCTCACCAAAAGGAATAGGGTCTGGAAATTTCAGAACGTGCGTTGTTCTTGAGCGGGTCAGTTCTGTAGCTCTCATTATCTTCTCCAACATCCGATTAATAGAAATCACATTAAAGGGAGTCGCCCTGTCTGAAACGCCGCTTGGTAGCAAACGGTTCGGAGAGGTCCTTCCCAATTCTGACGGAGCTGGTGGTATTGCTCAACTTCATTTTACACAGCCGTATCAGTTTTGAGAGGATGCCAAATTCAGACATCGTGGCCCATAGGCAACTCCTTTTAGTTCTGTCGAAAGCGGCCTTGAAGTCGGCAAAGAGGTGGTGAGTGTCGATTCTTTTCTAGCGAGTCTTTTCCCAGATTCGGCGTATTGTGAATACCTGGTCTATGGTGGATTTTCCAAATATAAAGTCACTCTGATAATGCCCAATCAGTTCGTTAACGGTGGGCTTCAGTCTTTCACACAATACTCTCGATAAGATCTTGTAACCTATGCTTAGAGGGCTGATCCCGCGGGTAGTTGGATCTTGTGGATCAGCTCCAGCAACTTTGGTATTTTTCATCCGCATAATCGCAATTCGTACCTCGTCATAGCCAGGCGGTGAGACATCGACTCCATTGTCATCGACTGCGGCTTCGGGTTCGTCTTCTCCTCTACTTTCAGTGCTGTTGCCATTCAATAGGGTGGAAGAGTGTTCGCTCCATAATTTAAGTACGTTCTGGACATCGGTCACTAGGTCGCCATTGTTGTTCTTACAGGAGTTCGCCCTGGTATTGAAACCTTCCGTAAGTCGCCTAATTCTCTGGTAAAATTTTCGGGCATTGCTCCTGTCGGCCAGCATAAGCTCTTTGCACTCACGTATTTCGGCATCTACCAGCTTTAGCTAATCAAAAACAAGGGGTGAAGCTGGTGCGTTGGCGAAAATCGGTTGCAGCGGTTACGACTGATAGAAAGCCAATTTTCCAGCTCCGAACCAATTCTTGGCAATTCGGCTATAAGTATGTATGTATTTGTTTGAAATATTTTACTAATTGACTAACATGGGCATCAACTGCCAATATAAGATCCCACAAAATCATAAAACCCCACCATAAAATGCAATGGTCTTTTGAATTGCACCTCACACCACTCTCTGCTGAAGGCCGAAGCTCCCAATGAAACCAGCAACGGCACACTGCAAACACAACTGGGACACGTGCGCCCTAACAAGCAGCAAATTAAGGTGACATTCCATTGCAAAAAAAAATATCAACAAATACTGAAAAAAAACTAAAAAAAATTCACTACAAATATTTGAAATTTTATGAAAAAATATGAAACATTTGCGAACAAGCGCAGGGGTGACACCCGATCATGAAGGAGCAGGCAAAAATTGGGTGGCACGAACGTGTGTATGTATGTACGGATCCCCCTTGGTTTAGCACTGTAGCGGTAATTAATAATTTCCTGCGATTTGAATGCCACCAAATCTACATACATAGCTAACCCCCCCTCTTCATCGCCTTCTCCCTGCCCATAGCTCAGTGAGCACTTGAAATTTCATTAACTCCAGGAAGGAGAGAAACGAATTCGTGGCAGGCAGAGATGGAGCTTCAATTAGAGTTGTTGTATGTATGCAGTTGCACTTGCAACGCCTCACTTGCCACACACAACGCTTGCTGCGGCCGCAAATTAATGCATTAAAATTAGATTTATACTCGCCGAGCTGAGTGCAGTAAAGCAGAAGTAAATGCGTGAATGCAAATTAATTTGACAGTGTAAGAAGTGGTGGCGCTGCAGTTGAGGAGCCATGCGATGGAATTCTCCTAAGGAATTCATCAACCAGCTGAAGTCTTGCGGATTTGTGGTTGGTGGTCCCGCTGAAGGTTGATGGGCTTGGCTTGGATGGCGGATGCGCTTCATTTGACATTTTGTCAGGTGACAAGTGCGAATGCGGAAAATACATACATACATACAAAGATACATACATACATACTTATTCCCCTGTCTAAGGACAATTTTGCACGGTGAATCTACTTACTTACATACATATGTACATGCATTAGAGTGCATCACTCTCCATAAAAAAAAAAATCGGTACCATTTTCCATCGAAATTATAAAATTTGTTATACTTTAAGATTTATGCCGAAATAATTGAGTTTTCAATATAGAACATAGAAGAGCTTAAGCTTAAAAGGTCTGCATTCCATTATTTTTTTCTTTTCATTTTATCAACGGAATCAAAAAACAATATTTTTGGAGGTATTTTCAAAAGGGCCCAGCTCACGTAAATCTTAATATTTATGCGGAAAACTTTTTCGAAAGTCTTATAATATAATAAATTTTATATTTAATAAATTTTATGATTCCGGTTAAAAAAACCACTACTTTTTTTGGTGATGCACCCTAATGTACAAATTTACACAAATGAGTTATGTATGCAAAATAACAACAAAATTAAGCAGCGCTAAAGATTTTGTGGTGCACTTCACACTAATGTTGGCCCCCAACCATGGGCGTACGCAGAGCATTATTTAGGGGGTGAGGGGTGCTGAGATTTTTTTTAATGTAAATTTTATTAGACATGTTAAAATATAGCTATTAAAAATTTACAATAATTTATCTCATTAATTTTTATCCTATCAACCGACTTCAAAAAAAGGAGGAGGTTATCAATTCATCGGAATATTTTTTTTTATGTATGTTACCGCATAACTTTGGACCATACAGCGGATGCCCGTACTAATTTGGTTTAGATCCGATCATTGGATCATGAAGATATTAACGGTACTTCTAACTTTTTATATGAGTATTTAAGTCGGTTTTGTTTTTTTGCTAAAAAATTACTTGTTTATTTAAACAATAGTCTTCGAGTATCTTCTTCTGTCTTCGAAAGACTGTGGTGAGTTGAAATACAGCTGCCAGAATTGCCCTGTAAATATGAAGATTTGTTTCCCCTTTGTAAGTCTTTGAGCGAGACTCTCTTGGCTTTATTACCAACTAACTGGATTATCGCTTATGTAAACAATGCTTTATATTAAATATGAAAGTTTTGTTTAAATATAAGTTAGCACAATACTTTCACCAAATATACATATATGTATGTATGTATGTAAGGGTATTTCAGTTAGTGACAGTATATTTTCCTTGCATAATTGCTAAATACAATAATTCATTTGCATAATCTGCCAACCAGGCAGCCAAATGCAACCAAACCCATGCTTGAGACATTAGAAGCAGCAGCGGTTACAGACAGGCAACAACTATTGAACGCCACTTGCAATGCGAGAAATGCAAGTGATAGATGCTGAAATACATTTACAATATACCCATACATATGTATGCAATCTAAGCGCATCTTCGCAAATGTGACAGATTCTGAAGCAGCATTTCCTGCACCAGCCTACAAGTGATTGTTGTCACAAGGCCGTCGAAGAAGTTTTGCTGCTGCTGCTGCTGCTACACACAAACATAACTGCAGTCAGTAAGACTTCAATTGCCGCAACTCTGGAGGATGATAAACGATGACATTGCGACAATCACTAAGACACAATTGCATGTGGCAAATTGAAAATGAAATTAACACTTTATAGCTACTTTGTTGCATGCCACCGAAACTGCCTTCATCTATGTATCTATGGCTAGCGCACATACTCGTACATATTTACTAAA